CGCTGTCCTCTCTCCTCCTCCCCCCATGCGCCTGCTGCCAGGCTAGAGCAGCTCCCCATCCCTACCCTATAGCTGACAACTCCAACGCCTGTTCCAGACTCCAGTCCCAGGATCCTGGTTGCCTGGCCCGCTGCTTGACCAAGCTGCTGGACCCGGGGTCCTGGCTGTTGGGCTCAGCTCCTGTCCCTGGCCTGGGACTCTGTAGCTGTCCTCAGCTGTGTACCCAACCTGGGGTGGGGAGGGTCATGGACAACGATAAGAGAGGGCACCGCAGCAACCCCGTCCTAAAAATTGTTCCAGTGCCACTGATGAATATTCCCAACTAGCAACTGGTCTGTGTTGGGTAATTCCACAACTCCTGTGGTAAATCACATGCTTTCTGTTCCTTGATTAGATGAATCAGATAACTAACCAACACAGCATGAACTGTGAATTTTAAACATGTCATTTTTTAAAACTCAAACATGTCATTTTTTGTGCATATAGAGCATTCAGTCTTAAAATGTATTGGATACGTCTATTTGTGCTCATAAAAGATAGGTGCTCAGATGGCAGTAGGAAGAGACAATGAGAGGACCATAGAAATGAAAAGCTGGAAGGGACCCCAGGACTCACTAAACATAATAACCCTTATGTGCATTAAGTGGCTAAAATGACACTCAGAAGCCAGATACAGGTAGGGTTGCTAGCCTTCCTGACTGGACATCATTTGCATCAAATGCATCCTGTCCATCCAGTTGGGCAAATTGGCAACCAGGCAGCTGCAGCGTATTCCAGTCTAGCCTTTAATTGAGTGAAGCGCCTCTCCGATCTGATTGCAGCTGGGATGTTATAAATGAAGAAAACAGACAGGAATGATTGGTGGGACTGAATATTATATGATGTTATAAATTTTAGGGACACTATAACTTGGTTTTAGTGTAAGAAAATAAAGCCAGCATGATTACAGGATAATTTGAAGTTCAGTAAATAGAGTTAAATGTGGCTTCTGTGCTTAACAGTGTCTTACACCTCTACTGTAGTTGGCAAGAGAACAGGCAGATGTCATGTGGACAAATAGCTTAACTCCAGTGGTCCAAAGCACAGTCTGCAACAGCCAGAGACAGCTTGTTTAATACAAACTGATGGCTACAAAACCCCCAGGCGACAGATCCGTGTCTAGACTGCCGCGCTGTGTCGGATCAGCTGATCGTCGGCACAGCGCGGCGGCCATGTTTATTTTAATGAAGCGGGGATTATTTAAATCCCTGCTTCTTTGACTATGCCGAATAAACTAATTTACATTGCTCCGTCGATGGAGCCATGTAATCTAGACACACCTTTGCGGGCAGCCACACCACCACCAGAGTGGCCAGCTGGAGATGAGGCTCCATCTTGCCTGCCACTGGTAAGTGGCCTCCCTGGCTAAAATCTCTTCCCCGACCGCCCTCTCCACTCTGCACACCCCCCTAGGACCACCACTGGAGCTGGCAAGCCCAGCCCCAGCCACCCTCCTATGTAGGGTTGCCAGATGGTTTCAACAAAAATAGCAGACACACTTGACGTTACATCACAGTCTACATCCCATCTTACTTAGAAAATACCGGACATTTATATTTCCTTAATTTGTTTCCCAAAGAGAAAGCTCAAATACTGGACTGTCCAGTTCAAAACCAGACACCCAGCAACCCTACTCCTACAAGACCCACTAGAGCCTCCCTGCCACCACCTGCACTGCTGGGCTGCCCAGCCTGTGTGGCCCTCCCCTTCTCCCTGGCCCTCTGGCTTCCTTGCTCGAGCCCAGGGAGCATCAGCGGCGGAGGACTGCACAGCCCTCCCTTCCCCTGACTCCCTGGGCTCAGGGGAGTGCTGGCTAGTGTAGGCCTGCCCAGGCCTCCCTTGCCCCCAGTTCCCTGGAGATGGGGGGGGCACTGGCAGAGGCCTGCACGGCCCCCCTTTCTGGCCAGGCCTTGGGAGTGCCGGCCTTGGGGGGACCTGTGTGTCCCTGGCCCCAGGCCAAGCCCCCTCCCTGAACTGTCAGTCCCTGCTAAGGCCTCTTCCCCCAACTTGCGGCCCCAGGCTGGGGTCCCCACCTATATCCAGTCTTCCCCTCTCCCTGTGCACAGCCCTTCCTGCTCCTTCACCACAGCTGGACCCCAGCAGCACCAGGTTAGTCTGCTAGTGATATAAAAAGGGCTGCAGTGGGGAACACTATTTAACTTAGGATAGAAACTCTCTGATAATTCACAAAAATGGAACTACAAGTAATTGTCAAAATGAGAACAAGCGCCCAGATCTTCAGATAGTGTAAATCAACATGTAAATTAATGGCCCTCCATTTATTCATACAAGCTGAAGATCAGCTCCAAGATGTTTACAGTTCTAACACATTTGATTCTTTATTTGGTGGGATACAAAAAGAAAGATGCTGCAACAACTGAGCTAGCTCCAGCCTCCAGAGTCAGTTTGAAAACAAAAAAAGGTAAGGAACGGAGAATGAGGAGAATAGAAAGAATAGAAGATCAGGAAAGGAGAGGGAGAGGTTGGTAGGAAGAGGAAATAAGAAGCAGGAGAAAAATAAAAAATAGAAGATGGAGGAAGAGTGGAAGAACTGAGGACAGAAGAAAGAAGGAAAGAGAGGAAGGGTACATCTAGACTACGTGCCTCTGTCGCCAGAAGCATGAAGATTCGGCTACCCGGCATAGTAAAATGAAGCAGTGATTTAAATAATCGCCGCTTCATTTAAATTTACATGGCTGCCGCGCTGAGCCGACAAACAGCTGATCAGCTGTTTGTCGGCTCAGCGCGATAGTCTGGACGCGCGGGTGTCGACATCAAAGGTATCAACATCAAAGGCCACTTCATTTTACTATGTCGGGTAGCCTAATCTACATGCCTCTGGCAACAGAGGCATGTAGTCTAGACATACCCGAAGAGAGTTGTAGAAAGAGGAGTGGAGGGAAGAAAGAATTGCAAACTAAAACTGGATAATTATATGAAATATCAACCAGGCAAATTTGAATTTTCAGACTCAAGCTTCTGCTGCCTACACAAACTTCTTAAATTTCACTGTTGGGACTGATTAAACCCTTAGAATCTGTTAATGAAATTTGAGTTCTGAAGTCACCATTGCAAGAGATTTATTCTGCCTGTAATTTGCATCTTATTATTACCACCTCAACACTTTCCTCATTAATATCCTCTCTCCCTGTCAGGCTGAAGACTGTTGCCTAATCATTAAGTTAATTCAGAAACAAGATAGACTGAAAGCTAGGATATGCAAAAAATTCCCAGGCATTCCAACTAGGAAGAGCTGAAATGCTCCTAAAAGGGAAAACGTGATATGATAAATAATGAATGCAAAAGAATCCTGTTTTCTTGTATAGTATAACTAGAAAAATGATTTGTCCTATGCTACATAAATGTACTTGTTCACTGTTGCAAATACTTATTTTCACATTGGAACTTGTCTCGCTAGACACAATTTAGCAGCTGTTGCGAAATGAGTCAAACTCCTAAGGCATAATCCACCACCCTTTGAAATCATCTGAATGAGTCCCGTTCCCGTCAATAGGCTTGTGATCCAGCCCACTGGCAGCAGCCTTCTCAAAAACTGAAGAGACATCTAAGCTGAACTACCCCTTATCCCATAAATCTCTAGCACCTTCAAGTCAAGACAAGTCACGAGGCAGTGGGAGGGAAACAAGTACTGCATCGGACTGTGATTGTGTTCTTTGGATCCGTAAAGAATGACATTCTCCAGGCTGTCAGACTCTGACTCCTCTAGCCTCTTTCTAACATGTAAAGCCTAAGAAAAGTTCTTATTCCCTCCAAATGGATTTTCAGCATCATTTGAAATGGGTTTGTCTGTTAATGCTGGGGCCCCAATTTAACAGCTGTGTTTATTAGAGTCCGTGGAGATTTTTGTGATTATTAATATTACCATAGTGCCCAAAAATACAGGAAGACCCTGAGATGTTACGGACTCCAAAGAGTTTAAGGCAGAAGAAAGATTTGTATCTTATCCCAGAGAAGAAGTATACTGCCAAGGCTGATGCCTGTATCATCTCTTTCAATCAATCATCTTTAATCTATTGGCCTAACCGTCAGGCTTTGCCTATTAGTCAGACTAGAGTACTATAGTTACCTTTCATAGTGTTATGATACAAAGTCCATTGGCATGAGTGGAAATCCTCCCTGAAATATAACTGGTTATTTTCCCCCAGTTGAATATTGATCAATTATTTTAGTTGAGTTATACCGTCCTTTCTTCATATCAATTCAACTACAGTTTGTCGCAAGCCTATAGAGGTAGTCCATAAGCTCTCAGCTTTAATTGCTTATTCTTATTCACTTCATTTCTTAGGTGCTTTATTAGCACCAGTCCCCTTCAGGAAAAGAGCTCTGAAGTGCTGTGACAGCTAATTTATGTGTGAAACTCAATGAGACACAGAAATCAAAGAGCAATTAATGTTATTAAACTTTAATGGACACATTGCATACAGAAATACCACAAGTTGTATTTTAGCAAGTTCCTTCTCTTTGATCCCTGCATAAGGAACCACACATCTCAGACTAAGCTCTAGGCTTGATGTGAAGAGAGCAAGAGCACAGAAGTGGTGCAAGACATAAGACTGAACCGTATGAAATTCATCTTCAGGTTAGGGTTCTTTGTTCAAGTAAGTGGTACCATTTGCTGGGTCAGGAAAACAGGAGTGCTTCCATTGAGGCTATCTGATAAAACCCTACTCTGGCTATCTTACCCATTACAAAGATAGCCTCCCCAATTATCACCTCTAATACCATTAGCTCACAGACATTTACCTCCCCCCCCCCGCATTCCCCTTCTGTTCTGAAATTTGATTTGTCCTTTTCATATGTGTTCAATTTTTTTAACTGTATCCTTTGGTATATATGGTTGTGACTATTTTCTTCCACTATTTGATCTGAGGAAGTGGGTCTGGCCCACGAAAGCTCATCATCTAATAAACCATCTTGATAGTCTTTAAAGTGCTACATAGTCCTGTATTTTGTTTCAGCTACTTAAAAAACTGACTCATTGTGATTACATGTATGGTTGTTTTTATCTTTAGCCCAAGACTCTACCACGAACAAATACACAAGCTAAGACAGGTACTACAAACACAATGGCAGATGTTGTATTGGTCTTCCCAGGAAGCCAGCTGATAAGCATGGTATATAATAAACACTCTGCAGTGCAAGTCAAAAGGTATTGCACCAGAACAAACAAAGCCCAAGCAAGGAAAATCCTAAACACCTATCAAAGACATTAAATACCAATGTTTCACTATGTCAGATAATGAAATTAAGCAATATTATGTGTTGTGGCTACTCCTTACCGGGATAATTTAAGGATGTGTTTTGAATTTATTTTATGAACATTTATATTATAATGACCAGCCATTGTTTCCCATTTGGCAACTTGCAAATAACACCAGTCCAAAGTCTCTAGAATGCACACCAGTCTTTTCAGGCAATGGATATAATGTTGCTTTCTTTCTTGTGGCATAATGGAACTGAAATCCCAAAAGATCTCCAGTTGAAACTGGGGTTGCAGCAAAGCACCAAAGACATGATCAATCCCAATATTAGCATAAGGCAAAGAACCCATTGAATCAGTCCAGTGAACATAAATGGGAGTACAAGGATGATCAGGATCACCACGAACAACAAAAGCAACACAAATCTTTGGACAGCTAATTGATTGCTACTGGGAATGTCCTGGTTTTCATAGATAGTGGCATGGCTTGACTGAGTACCACCGTTGCCATCCAGTCCTTCAGGAGAGAGGTGTACTTCAGCATGTGGACAAGGGTTTTCCAAATGGCCTACAATATCTTCTTTATCAGGAAGGGTGCGGATAAGCCCTCCAAACACAACAGTGGGTTTTCTGCACAGAGGGCAGAGGATCATCCATGTGCTGTCCTCATTCTGAAGGATGAGCTTGAGGCAGACTTCACAGAAAGCATGTTGGCAAGCCAGGAGCTTAGGCCTCCTGTAAATATTGTACCTGTTGAAGCAGATTAGGCAGTCCATATCTGCAATTGAGGGTTTGGACGAACTCTGGTGGTCCATTTCTGAAACTGATTCTTTAGAGGAGTCTGGAGCATCCATTACTATCACTGGAGGCTGAACTGAGTTTGGACAGTTCATTTTTGAAGCTGGTACTTTAGAGGCATCTGGATTGTCCAGGTCGGTGGCTGATGGTGAAGAGGAACCTGGACAAATCTTGTCTGCAGCTTCTTCTTTAGTGGTCTGTAGTCTGTCCAGGTCTGCAGCTGATGGTCCAAGAGAACTTGATTCATTCTTAAAGTGTAGCTTGTCTGCTGAGCCCTCCATGGAGAGAGATCTTGATGCCATTTTGTTTTGCACAGTTAAATGTTTGCTGATTCTGCTCTCTTTATACGGACGCTTTATTCCGGTTATGTGTGTTTGAATAATGACCGTTGGCTTTAAGCACGTAGTATTCTCTGACAACAATGACGTTTTTATGAGGAGAGAATCTGTGTTAATCAGTAACTTAACTGCTAAGATATTTTATAATGCCTGATAACATCACTGAGCCATTCAGTCCAAGCAGCAGACCTTGTGGCATCAGTAAGGCTGCAACAAGTCTTGATATGATGGTCAGGACTGGTGATGGGGGGGCAAAGAGGGCAGGCATGCAAAAAAAGAGCTCAGAATCTGGACTATCTCCTGCACCCAAACTCCTGCCCAGAGCTGCACCCCACAATCTCTCCTGCACCCAAACTCCCTCCTATATCCCACACACCCTCCCACATCTAAACTCTCTCCCGGAGCCCACACTTTCTGCTGCACACCACGCCCCCTCCCACACCCTAACCCACTGCTCCAGCCTGGTGAAAGTGAGTAAAGGTGGAGAAGAGGGAGCAACAGAGGGAGTGGGGATGGAGTGAACAGAGGGAGTGGCTTCAGAGAAGGAGCAGGATAGGGGTGTGGCCTCATGGAAGGGTCGGGCAGTAGTGGTGCAATGGGGCAAGTATGTAGAAAACTTTGCCATGCCAAAAGAATGTGTCCAATAGTGCAGCACAACCAGCAGCTTGCTGCACACCAGCCAGCACAGGCACAGCTTTACCCAAATGTCAGGTGGACCACGTCCACATGGCCAGACCTCATGTGTGCTTGGGGGTCCATTGACTGTTCAGCCCTAGGGTCCAGAATTGCTGTCGGTCATCCTGATAGTGGCCAGATTGTGGCAATAGAACTAGGAATGTAACTGTAGTTGATTAAGCGATTAATGGATAAGTAAAAGCTTATCGGTTAATGCTATAAACTACACACATTTCCCCGCTAGTAAATTTTTTTGGCAGGCTGGCCAGCAGTTCAGCTCAGTCCTGGCTCATGTCAGTCAGGAGCTCAGCCCTCCCCTTGGGACAGGGGCTGCTGCCACCCCACGCTGATACAGAGGCAGCCCTGGCAGACGACAGGCATCCGGGCTGCAAGGGGAGCTGGGTTTTAATTTT